TAGCTAAAGCTAATGTTATTAGAATATATACAATAACTTAGACTAATCAATATTTTCGAGAAAACGTAGCCATTAGCCATTTTTGTCTGTGTGAGTTAAATAATTTTGAATAATTAAATATACTGTCGATGCGATCTTCATCTGTCTTTTTTCTGCAGCTTACTATCATAGATCAAATGTCTTAGCTGACACTCTAGCTTCACTGTTCGTACATGTGTTTTATGTTATTGATTGAGATACGAAAAGGTTTCTCTTGATGCGCTCGTTTAGTTATATGGCGTGTAATATATGATGGAGTGATTTGCGAGTCAAAAAGGATAGATTGATGCAATAGAAATAAAAAAAATCAACGAAGCATGAAAGCAAGAAAAAAGAAAAGAGAGAAGCGCTTGTAACAATCACCTTCGTCACATAATATAACTGATACAGTGAGAAGATCCTTACTATCGAATATCACCATAGATTAACTAATATTCACTTTTGATTCTTTCCATGTGCAAAGTTACTTCAAATTCATGAGCTAAGAACATACTCTCTGCTCATCAATTATGTAGGATAATACATCTATTTCAGTACTATTGTTTTATCGCATGAAATATGTTAGTTATTCTTGCTACACATGCATCTATTGAACTCTTATTCTTTACAACTAATAATAGTGTTACAAAAGCAGAGGGTGCCTACGACGTTGATAAATTCAATAAACTGATATTTAAAAAAAGGGTATTCTTCTAATGCAAGGCATTCCAAAAGTCCGGTCGAAAAAAGAAATATGAATATTTCTGTAACCATTCAAACGATGTACGTGAGACTTTTATGGTTTTGATTCCATATTCATTGAAGTTTCATTTCACATAAATTTGCCTCTAAGAGATACGCACAATGATTACTAATAATTCAAGTATGACTTTTCTAACTAGATTGATAGAAAAACAGATTTCATTAAACTATAATTATAGTCAAGAGGAATGTACATCGTAATCAATTACAGAAACAGTCACTCGTTTTTTTGGAATGATCGATATCTAGGTAATTGACATTCACAGAGCTTTGCCAAGGGAGAAACAGCAGACTCCGGGACTCCATGGTATTTTAAAGATCTCCAAAATGGTACAATTATTTGCGAAATCCCTCAATCTGTTTTATCATAGAAATACTTCTTGTCCAATGCTGAACTACGGACAATTAACGACCAACCTATTCCAAAAATGTAATGTGAGCATTCACAGAAGCAGTGTATATGATATTTAGTGATCTCGAACTTAAAAAAAGAATTACTTGACTACTTTTAATAACGCACTTTTTAGGTTGATAATCAATTGAAAAAAAGTTATCAATCAAAAAAAAAATACAAAAACTAAACGTAGAATTGTTTGATAGCTACAACATGTAAAATAACAATAATTAAATCAGTTCGTAAGGGTTAAAATTACAAAAATAGTTTCGTAACGAGATACGATAAAAGAAGCAATAAGAGAAGAATATGAAGTAAAACAATGTTTCTAAGATAAAATTTATCTTCTTGTTCTTTGTGCTTTCTTTTTCCTATCAAATGATGAATCTATAACATTAATATTTCTTTTTAGTTGTCTCGTCGTTGAAGATGATGATGATGATGATTATTATTTTTCATTTAAACCACGATCATGTACTGATATTGTGATGGATGATGATAAAGAATTTGTCGAATTAGATGACATCGTAACTGGTTCAGTAGTCGACGGCACAAAATTGGATGATAATGTTGGATCTGTTGCTGCAGTTGAAACTGATGATGATTGTTGATTATTGATTATGTTAACGACTGGTAACTGCTGGTTTTTAATTAATTCTTTGATTTTTCTACAAGTAATACCACTACGTGAACCTTGTAAATGCCTGTAAAAATTTGAAATTTGAAATTTACCATGATTTATTGTTAATGATATCATTTTACCGCAGCAACATTTTATTTTATCCATGATTGTATCACCTGGACGGTTCAAGATAGCAATAAAAAAATGTTGACATTCAATTAACGAAAATTGTGAAGAATCAATATTTGATTTATTATTTTCCCACCAGGAATTTATTGAGTCCACTATATATTTTTTTAATGTTCATTATCTGATAAATTTGAATGTTTAATTGTTGAAGTTTCTGATAGATCACTCAAAGGAATATCAGATACTAATTTTGTTCCTGTTGAGGATACTACTGTTGTTCTATTTAATGATGATGATGATTGAATATTTTCCGAAGATTTCGCACGTTTTGCATCTGCAACACATTTAAGGGTACCCCCCCCCCCCCTCTTTTTTGACCATTTCTAGATCTCGAAGATGGTAAGGCTGATCGAAATGAAATTTTTATCACAAATAGAACACCTAAAATGATGAGACACGTGTTCGAGGAAAAAATTCTCTAAGGCGGTTTTCATGGTTTTTTATGAAAAACCTTGGTTTTCCATAGATTCTCATCTTGCCAAAGGCAACCCCTTTCTAACTTCGTCCGATTAGGCTGAAAATATTTTTGTGGATAGCTACGACTATATCTCAGAGGTAGTTTTGAGCGTTTTCAAAAATCTCACTTTCTTTTTTTTTTATAAAAAAAATACGTAAAGGTTTTTTGCCAGAATCAGGTTTTTGACCTTGCGGACTCTATAAATCCGGATGGAAGGATCAGAAATTAAAACGGTCAAAACTACCTCTGGAGAATACTTCAAAGTATCTATGATAAAAATTTCAGCCCGATCGGACAAAGTTAGAGGAAGGTTGTCCATGGCACAATTTAGTACTTTGCATAAAAAACTGGTTTTCGAGAAAAATGCAAAATAAGTTTGAGAAGTGTATCTCGTTACAGAGAAAGAATGAAAGTGTATTTTTTAACGAATCTATGGGCAGTTTGTGATGGGGAATCTAATGGTGATATCGACAGATATATGCAATGTACACTAGCAACCTCTATTGGTCACGTTATCGAGTGGAGTACAGCACCTTCTTTTGAATCATCGATTATCATTTCATATAATTATTATTTGATTATTTTGATCCAAAACAAAAAAGAAATGAAATAAAATGCCGCCAAAGGCAAAAGCAAAAGCAGCTACACAAACAAGTAATGAAGAAAAAGAAATATCAATAAA